TCTGGACCAATTTCTTTAAGTTTGAACAACCTATTGTGAGGAACAGTATTACCGCCTTGGTCTATAATTTCCAGGCAAATATTTTTAACCCTTTTTGGATGTAAGAGTCACATATGCCATCCTCCAATCCTCTGGTACAATTCCTGAAAGCAAAGAATTCTGAAAGGTTCACTTATTTTCACACTTAGCTCCTTAAGTACTCATGGGTGAGTTTATCCCAGTCGACGAGTTGTAACGCTGATATAATATTATTGAAACTGGCCTTTATAAAATTATATGTTTTGGTATACCCCATTGACATTTGCTTTATTTGTGTTTATCTTTTTTGTTCTGGGGTTCATTTGCATATTACATTTTTTAGCCTTTTTAAAAATTATTATTATTATTATAATTTACAAAGCTCCAACACAATTCTGTACAATAGTTGAATTAGTTTGAAGAGGACTCATACATCAAGTCAGGTGGTCTTTCTGACACAAGCTTACAGTATGATAGTGATAGGAGTGGGGATTTGTAATCACCGTAACATACTTGTCATCTAACAGAATTAAGAAGAAAGAAAAATATAGTGCAAATGTTGAACAATTTATAAATGGTATGGCATGGTAATAAGAAACTCAAAATCCCTAACAACAGTGACAGACTTAATTATACACAATCAGCAGGGCCGGATTAAGAGCCCATTGGGCCTAGTGCTGACAATTATGATGAGTCTAATAACAGAATCTTATCAACGGAAAAAATAAAATAGTTAGACCTTCCAAGGGTAATGTATCTGGTCGAGATGGTGCTGGAGGGAAGCTCACAGGTTGCAGCTATAAAAATAAAAACACATACGCTATGCTGCTCTTGCTGTCACCTCCCAAGCAAGAAGTAACCAGTGGGTGGGGTAATAGGTCGGGCCACTGACACCAATCATGTAACCGATACCGCCCAAAGGGACGGATATGCCCAGAAAGGGGGCAGGTCTGCCTGAAGAATTAGAAGGCCAGCCTGGCGTGAACGCATCTAAGACTGTCCACCAATCATGCAGGATGGCCAACTAAGGGCTTACTGTACACTTTCTGGGTACTATCCCCTTGCACTCGCTTGTCCCCAGCTCTCCTCAACTTCTTACTAGCAGGTAGAAGCTCCTGGTATGCAGCTGAGGACAGAGAAAAGGTGGATCTAGTGAGTGTAAAAGAAAGGAGATATGTCACACAGTGTGCAGTCAGCTTTACCTTAACGTATTCATTGTCACCCAATTCACAAGTTTTGTTCCCATACAGTTCTCTTACATTTTCATACTTAATTACCTCTACATGAAGTAAGAGCATGTGAAGAGTAGTAAGACAAAATAATATATATGTATATATTTCATGGGCACACATGGGCCTGGAGCTTCAGCTCCATCACCTCTTATGTTAAAATGGCCTTGACAATCAGGAACCATCTTCCTCTGCTGCATCAAAACACATTAAATTATTATAACACATAGCTTGGGATTATACCGGCCTTGAAGGAAGTCAAACTTTAATTAAAACGTTGGAAGGAATATAAATGATTCATACATTTTTGCTAATGAGGTATTTTTGACAAAGAGATTCAATAAGATTAAAAATCTACTTGGTTGTATAATTTATAAACATTAACACAGAGCAAATAATGCCACACATCCCATGGGAATGGCTGGTCTAGTTCAATATGCAGATGAAATTGAAGCTGATTTTTTTTGTTGTTGCTGGTTATACAAACCTGTTTTTTGTGTGATTCCTATTAGAACTAAATAGATTCAAATGTTAATTAGTTGGACAATTTCATTAAATATTGCTCCAAGCTCCAGGATAAAATACGTGTTGTTTGTGACTTCATTACATTCCATGTAGGCAATAAAAGGTACCAATTTGCATGAAAATATTTGAATATAAAATATTATGTCTATAAAATTAAGTATATTTATATTTTGACAGGCAGCTGATTATGCCAGCACTGTACATTTATCTTAACTGCTCTGGAAGGAGTATACATTTTGTATATTAATATAGTTCAGGATATAATCAAATTTACCATAAATCTATTTAGAATGTGAGTAATTTGCAGGATGTCTATATTAATAAAATGATGTGTCTATTGTCACCTGCGGCTAGTTTGTGACTCCATAACGATTGTTGACGTGCTAAATTGAAGAATTAAAGTGGTCTATTTCATCACTTTTATTGGCATCTCCCTAGTCTCCACATGCAATGACTGCTTAAGAGAGATAGGAACAAAATATGTTTGGGATCACCAGTAATAATTTGTAGTGGCATATATAATAGGACAGATCAGACAATAAAAAGACTAATACTTAACCCAACAAATATCTAAATTGGATTTTTATAGAACAGATCATTATAATGGCAAAAACTCTCCCTAGTCCTTAAGGGATTAAGACATGTCCACACAGTAACCCCTACAATACACTAAAACATTACACTACATATTAACTTCTACATCACCCTAACATACTATAATACACTACACATTAACTACACGACACATTAACCCCTAACACTCCACATTAACCACACATTACATTACACTAACATTAAACACTAACATAATACTGTAGCACTAACCATTATACCTTATAGTTCCTTAAAGGACCACTATAGTGCCAGGAAAACATACTCGTTTTCCTGGCACTATCGTGCCCTGAGGGTGCCCCCACCCACAGGGTCCCACTCCCGCCGGGCTCTAGGGGGTGGAAGGGGTTAAACTTACCTCTTTCTCCAGCGCCGGGCGGGGGACTCTCCTCCTCCTTGGCTGAATGCGCATGTGCGGCACGAGCCGCGCACGCATTCAGCTAGTCCATAGGAAAGCATTCTCAATGCTTTCCTATGAATGCTGGCGTCTTCTCACTGTGAAAATCACAGTGAGAAGCGCCTCTAGCGGCTGTCAATGAGACAACCACTAGAGGCTGGATTAACCCATAGGTAAACAGCAGTTTCTCTGAAACTGCTATGTTTATAGACAAAAGGGTTAAACCTAGCTGGACCTAGTACCCAGACCACTTCATTAACCCCTTAAGGACACAATTTGTGGAATAAAAGGGAATCATGACGGAAATATTAAGGAAATATTAATTAAGCTTAAATGGTCTGGGTGCCTATAGTGGTCCTTTAATACTAATACTAACCCTAACCTAAAAATATAATAAGATAAATAATAATTAAATGTGATACAAAAACTAAACAGCCTGTATCAGTCTATATTTTTATTTTTTTTTATAAAAAAGCACTTAGCCTACAGTCTTGTGGTTTATTATCATATTTCTAAAGCCCTGAGATGGTATTATTTACCAATATTTTCCCACTAATCTCTGGCACAATGTATATGGATAGATAGATAGATAGATAGATAGACCACAACGCCAAAGTACCCAATTATTAGGAGATCCCATGATGTGTTTTGCCAAAACAGCAGCCTTTTTAAAAATTGCTTTTTCAAAAACTTTCATTCCACCGTTTTCATTGTACTGTATTGTACTCAGTGTACAATACTGTATATTATTATTGTTATTATTCACGTTTATATAGCTTCAACATATTCCACAGCTCTTAACAATTATAGAATGGGGATATTTAAATTCTTTATTTAAGTGCAGCTAGTATCGTGGCTTGTATAACGAAAGGTACACAATCTTAGAATGGGGATATTCGACAACTAATTGACATACAGAACATAGCAGAAACAAGAGGTGTTTTATTCAATCTCTCCTTCAGGCTTGACAATGTTGATGAAAACGAGAAGTTCGGATGAATAATTACCTTCCTAGGACCAACAAGGTATGGACCATCTTGTTTTTTTTTTTTCCTTAACAGAGAATTTTAGCTAAATGGCAAATAAACACAATTGGTAATCCAGAATTCCTGTTCTGATAAACTTACACATAAAGTTGACAAAAGGGGCAGCAGATGAGAGGGCAAGTACACAACAAAATATATACAGTGAGATAAGGAGATTACGAATCCTAAATCACAAGAGTTGAGCTGTAAACTTTTCAGGAATGCTTACACCAGGGGATCAAATCTGTGAAGTCAATAGATAACCTTTGTTTATCTGATTGAGAGATTACTTATTGTAGCATAGAGAAATTATGCCATTGTCGGGTGTGGGTGGGCTTCTTGGGACAAAAGGTATGACCTATCACACTGAGAGCCAAGGATGTAACCCAGATTGATCTGATCTGGAGAAAACAGTTAACTCTAAACAAAATCGTAATGTTGCCCTTTCCCCCAGGTGAGAGATATCTACTATCTGCAATAGGCAAAAAAAAAGGATATATCTATTTTAAAAAAAATAAATTATTATATCTTGTCCTTGAAATGGATTTGTTAGACCTCGTAAATTGTATGGTTGTATAAAGAGAGCTTTCTACACCCTTTGTCTCGGTTATTATTTATTATTATTATTTTATTATTTGTATAGTGCCAGCGAATTCCGTAGCACTGTACAATGTGTTATAGTCTTTATGTTGATTACTAGTCAGATATCCCCTTCCTATGATTGCACAGTATTGTGGGATGTGTTGATGCAATATATATGCTAATAGTAGAGAAAAGATTTTAATCCAATTAATTGTATCCTAATCATTACGTGAGTTATTTATGTTTTGTAATTGGACAGTGTTTTAATACATATAGTTTTATCAAGCAAGACACTAATAAACATTAACAGGGTTTATTTACTAAAGTGAGAATTCAAAGTGAATTTCAAATTTAAGGCCAGACTAGTTGAGCTATAAGCATAGCTAATTCTAATGTGGATAAGTGCGAGATAATGTATCTTGGACGTAAAAACCCAAGGGCAGAGTATAGAATATTTGATAGAGGGGACTTGACAGGCGACCAGAACAGACCCAATCTCTGGGGCTCCATGAACCTCGCACCAAAAAACGGGAATTTCTCCCAAACCCACTGGTAAAAGACCTACCTGCAGTCTACCTTCGACTGTAGGAGACCGAGAGGCACACACTGAAGCCTTTTTTCCAGCAAACGGGCACCAAACAAAAACGCCGACCTCTCAAGGCCTCCCACGCGGTCTGCCCGAGAATCACGCCGCACACGTCCGCAGCCTGGTGGGACCCTGACTGGCTCACACCAGACCCCCAACAGATGCAGACTCAGGGGTCAGAAGTGATGGGGAAAAAATACCACAAATCCCAGGCATCCGCCTCCCAAGACATGCAGGACATAGACTTGCTGCTTCAACACACGCCAAAGCCCAGGGAGCAGGAGCAGACCAAGACATGGGCCTGTGACCTCAAAGAGAAAGAAGGGGTGAACGACACAGCGCAGGGGCCACCCCCAATGGGGCTCCAGACCACGCATACCCAGACTAACCAAGACCCTGTGACTAAGCAGGACATAGAAAACCTTTTTAATCGCATCCAACAACTTTTTGCTGCTGACATAGCCGCGGTGCGGACAGAAGTGCAGGCGGTCACTGCCCATGCCCAGGCGACTGACTCCACCATAGCCGACTTACAACGCCAAATAGCGGCAGTAAAAGACTGTCAAGCAGTTACAGGGGCACCACTTAGAAACCTCCCTGAGAATGGATGCACTGAATCAAAGATCACGTCAGAAAAACATCAAGATCTGAGGAGAAACAGTCACCTCTAAGGAACTACCGCACCTCATCAGGAGAATGGTGTCCAAGCTTCTCCCAGCGAAACAAGCTAAACAATTCACACAAGATGGGGCCTACAGCATAGCTAAGTCCCCCAGGGCATCAAACAAAGCACCAAGGGACATAATTTTACGTTGTGGCACAAGACAAGACAAGCAGGCCCTACTGAAAGCAATATACAACAAGTCACCTACGGACTTTGAGACTCACAAGATTTCATTCTTCCAAGATCTCCACCGCTCCACCCTGACATGGAGAAAAACGATGCAACCCATCACACAAAAACTGCAAGAAGCAGGCATATCATACCGATGGACCATGCCCAGATCCCTTACAGTTTTCAAAGAAGGCAGACAGATGAAGGCAACCGACGTGGCGGAGGCCACCACCTTCCTAGCGGCAGAAGGCATCAATGACAGGAGCAGAGGGTCAGAGACACTAACGGGACATAGGATGTGGACAACATAACTCCGTTCACCCCACGGAATGGACAGGGTGCCGTGACATAATGTGCCATCTTCACTTAAGCTGCAACATTATAGTTTTATTTTTCGTATTTTGTATTATACTTTCAATGCTTTATTTATCTGGTAATTTTAATTTTCATATGTTGACCTGACTGAAGCCCCAGAGAAGTCTGTGCACCTAGACAGTCGTTCTCCTAGAGATGACCCCAATAGCATCCACTCACTTTCGACTAAACCATACACCCCTTCTCCCCCACCCCCCCCCCCTGACGTCTCCTAAGGTTAGGGACCAAGCAAAACCTATACACGATGAACACATGCCCATCCGGCACTCTATTATTACCCCTCATAGCGACACTGTAGGTGTAGGTTCTTTGTTTACGAGTCCATAATATATCACGTTCATACATAAACAACTGATAGTATGATAAGCCAACCACAAGGGTTACTTAGGCCCTAGTGCAACTGGACGGGCTCCTAACAATCAACCGTAAACCCCTTCTGAGGGCCCAAAGCCTAGACGAAATATTGACTGGAGAGCCCGGTACCCGAGACTTGACTACCAGTTTAATTGTTAGCAAACAAAAAACAAAAAATCAGGTGTTAGCTATTTGTATACAATGAGCAATATTGGATATTAACGTGTACCAAATGTGCCATCCGTATCTTGTATTTTGTAATGTTTTATAATGTATCACCTGCAAAAAGAAAGAATTAAAGAAAAAGAATATTTGATAGAGTCCTAACCTCAACATCTGAGGAAAGGAATTTAGGGGGAATTATTTCAGGTGACTTAAAGGTAGGCAGACAATGTAATAGAGCAGCAGGAAATGCTAGCAGAATGCTTGGTTGTATAGTGAGAGGTATTAGCAGTAGAAAGAGGGAAGTGCTCATGCCATTGTACAGAACACTGGTGAGACCTCACTTGGAGTATTGTAGTATTGGGGACCGTGTCTCCAGAAGGATATTGATACTTTAGAGAGAGCTCAGAAAAGGGTTACTAAACTGGTTCATGGATTGCAGGATAAAACTTACCAGGAAAGGTTGAAGATCGTAACATGTATAGCTTGGAGGAAAGACGAGACAGGGGGGATATGATAGAAACATTTATATACAAAAAGGGAATCAACACAGTAAAGGAGGAGACTATATTTAAAAGAAGAAAAACTACAAGTAGAAGAGGACATAGTCTTAAATTACAGGGGCAAAGGTTTAAAAATAATATCAGGAAGTATTACGTTACTGAGAGGTTAGTGAATGCATGGAATAGCCTTCCAGCTGAAGTGGTAGAGGTTAACACAGTAAAGGAGATTAAGCATGCGTGGGATAAGCATAAGGCTATCCTAGCTATAACATGAGACCAGGGACTAATGAAAGTATTTAGAAAATTGGGCAGACTAGATGGGCCGAATGGTTCTTATCTGCCGTCACATTCTATGCTTCTATGTTTTTTCAGTTTGGCTACTTTGACTTTAACCCCTTAAGGACATGTCGTGATTCACTTTTATTCCAGAAGTTTGGTCCTTAAGGGGCTAAAGGAACACTATAAGGAGTATTCCTAGTTATTGTCTGCCCCCAACCCAAAAAAATAAATTCATGCTAAAATAGCCAAACTGTGAGAATTTTTAAAAACCAGCACTTTTTGCATACATTTTGTAAGTAAGCTTTCAATACACTTCAATTCAGTCATTATTGAATAAGTCTTTGAAGTGTCTCACACAAAGAGCGTTTCATGTAAACAAACTTTTCACATTTCCCTATTCCCCTCTTTAAAGGAAATTGAGTCAACTAGTGTAATTGTCATACACGTGTTACAACTGAATTTATTTCACTTTGTAAAAGTGACAAAGAAAAATAAAATTTTGAGCTAAAACAGCCAAGATGTTATATAAGCGGAATTTGTGAATTTTTCACAATATAATTATTTAACTTGGAGAAAAATGAAAAAAATTCCAAACTAAATTATTTATTGAATAACCCAGACTGTCTCCTTTAAAGTCAAAGGTGAGTTGATACTGGCAAAGACATAAGAATTAAAGGGACACCGTAGGCACTGTATCTGCTTCATCTCATTAAACTGGTTATAGTGTATGGAGTCCTCTGGTACCATCATTTCTTTCAGCATTAAACAGTTTTTAAACTTTTAATGTTTTAATGCTAAACAAGAGTCCCCGGCAATCCATCCCCTCTGTGCTGCTTTGGCTAATAAGGAAGTATTAGCCTGAGCAGAAATGGGCAGCTGTGATTGGCTGAGAGTGTCAGCTGACTGCTTTTAGCCTGTCAGAGTTCCAACTGACGGTATGAATGGGTATGACAACAAGGAAGTGTGTAATCTCTGCCTTAGCTACACATACTGAAGGGGCCAGACTGTGGGTGGCCAGGGACTCTTATTTTGTGGCATACTGCACAAACATGGTGCAATACTGAATGGAGGGACAGTGCCAGGGCACTCCAGGCACTATAACCAATTCAGAGAGATGAAATGCTTATAGTGACTACAGTGTCCCTTTAAATACTGATACTATTCCCATGGAACTATAAAACTGTAAGTTAATTTGTATAACATTACCTGTCTCTTGTTAGAGGAGCAGTTGTGACGCCGTAATGTCGTTTTTTTTTTACAAAATACACTGAAAAAAACAGAACCATATTTGATTTTAAAAAAATGTAAGCAGCTATTATGTAAAATAACAACAAGTGACGGTTTCTCTTTGATAGTCGTTAAAATCATGCTCCAACTTGGAGCTATAATCATCCACGAGCTCTGTCCTTTGTGAAATGTATTCTTTATTTTTAATTAATGCAAATATAATGTTGCTTTTGTGCCACTCTCTGGGAAGTGCAGTTGGATAAAATCCAGAATTTTGCTTGCTACCAGATGTAGTGCATTAACTTATCCACTGATCCAGAGCCCATGGGCACAGCTCTATTTAGAAGGCATGACCAAGGGATTTTATTTGTTTCTATAACCATATGAAATACCACTTTGAATTAATATAATAATCTGGCCCAATAACCCACCAGGTTTTGGATATTTAAAAAATATGCATAGTAATAAGCAAGGTCACGGTGTCTGGTTCAGTGGTTTGTTTTAGAACCTTGTTCTACAGCCTTGCCTACTCCTGTTTTAGAATATGCAAGCATGCTTGTTTATAAAGATAAATCAAGGGTTAATGTTGGCACGTCAGATTATTTTGTATTCTTTATGAAGAACCAATGTATTTTGCAGTGATGTAGATATTTGTAAACTATCTCGCCCATGATGATCAGCTTGGTAATCTAATTTACATATGACGGTAATGATAAGGTAAACCGTTAACAGAAGAGACTCTGAAAATTGGAAAATTACAACATTTATAATTTTCTGGGGCTTTTCCCGAGCAAAATCACAATAAATAGTACAGGGAGTATTAGTACATTCGTTGACTAATATTGCAAGCAAATAATTGGCCACAAGTGTAAAGGAAGTATTCTTTACCGATTAGAACTGGTCTGATCTAAAAAGTGCTCTAAAGATGTAAAATTTAAGCAATTACCATGGAAACCAGTAGAACTGGCACAAACATTCTATTGGTGACTCTTTTACTTTCCCATTTTTGCACCACTTTTTAGAACACATACTTCGATAAATCTCCCCCAATGTCTTCAAACAGCTAAAAGATTCTCAGCAGAGAGCTGTGCATATCAGAGCTGGGGACATTACTTATTCATTTTTTTTTACCAATATTGTATGTGTTTGGCTCCTGTCGCCATCAACATATACTTTGAGGACATCTCATAGTGAAGGTACTTGATTTGGAACAACCAGACCTGGAATAGAATAGTGGCCATCAGAAGATGTCCCTGATTGGATCTCTCAGGCTACCATGGAGTTCATTGTTTCTACACGCTGGATGGAGATACTGATTCAGTAAGTGAGCATAGATTAGCAAAGTCGCTCTTGGATTTATACCCACAGTGCCCATTTCTTTACTTTCAGTCCCCAGGTTTATCAATATCATTCACCTTAGGTAATAGTTTTCTCTACCCCCTAGAAACGGTTCTCTCCTCCTCTCTTTACTTTGCCGTGCTATCACTTTCTCTTTTATGCTCAACTCTTTTTCTTTGCTATTTCTGCTTTTCTCCTGATGCTTTCCCTCCATACTCCTATTCCACTTCTTTTTCCTAAACATGACCTTCTTCCACCTTTGTTTCCATTCTTCTCCCTAATTTCAACCTTTTTCCAATATTTTTCATCTCTCTTCATCCACATGTTTCTGTATCCCCCTCTTCTGCTCCATGTAAGCCTCCCATTTCCTACCTTGCTAGAGTCAGTCATAAGACATATGGCACACCTAGGTGATCGTTGACATCTTACTTCCTAAACACAAATTAGAATTTTTCACTCATGCACCTACCACTATACACAAGCAAACACAATCACCTCACTATTATCATCAACCAGCAGAATGCTGAGGAGATGATGGTAGTTTAAATTTAGCAA